TCGGGGTCACTGCAAGCTCGCCCTCCGCCGGGTATCAGCATTCTTCCTGCCTCAGCCTCCGAGTAGCTGGGGGATAACAGGGCGCCGGCCACGGGCCCGGCTAATTTTTTTGGTGTTTTTTGATAGTGAGACGGGGTTTCACGCGTGTTTAGCCAGGAGATGGGGGGTCTCGCAACTCTCCTGCTCGTGATCCGCCGTCTCGGCGCCTCCAAAGTGCTGGGTTACAGGCTTGGCCACGCCGCCGGGCACGTTCTTTCCTTATGTGCACTGAAGAAAGGTTTCCTGCAGACCACACTGTGTTTGCCAATCAGCCCTTCCTTGTTTTGACTACCACGTTACAGGATCGTCTCTCTCTTTTTCTCTTGCTCCGGTTGGGGGGGTTTTTTTTTTGTTGGTTGAGGAGATGTCTTTTGCGTACGTGTAGCAGAACAAGGGAAGGGTGATTTGGCAAAACAAGTGTGTGTCTGCAGGATTGTACTCTTTCTTCAGTGCAATAGGAAATGAAACTGTAGGCCGGGCGCCGGGGATCAGCTGTATCCCAGCATTTTGGCAGAGGCCGGGACGGCGGCATACGACGTCAGAGATCGGAGCCTCCTGGCATAACAGGGTGAACCCGGTCGTCTACTAAAAAAACAAAAATGTGCCCGGGCGCGAGGTGGCGGGCGCCTGTAGTCCCAGCTACTCGGCGAAGGGCTGGGAGGAGATGGCGTGAACCGCGGGGACGGCGGACTTGCCGTGAGCGCGAGATCGGGCCACTGCACCTCCAGCCTGGGCGGCCAGCAGAGCGAGAACTCCGTCCTCAAAAAAAAAAAAAAAAGAGAATTGAACTGCATCTCTGGAAGCCAGATATCAAAAATTATTGCGCTCTCATCTGACATTCCCTCCTCCCGCCCACACACACACACACACACAAAATCCCTACAAGTTCTAGCCAATAGCTGGCTGGCTCCAAGCAATAAAATACTCACTGTCTCAAAATTTGGACAGCTCCTTAAAGTTCCTTATGAAGGCATTTTGATTTGCACAAATATGTCACGACATGTTTTAAGATGACTCCTTTTTAGCAAGAAATCTATAGTAAATTGCCTTCCTCCTTAATTGAGGTTAGCCACAAGTCTTCCCTTGCCTGGCATAGTGGGTGGTGCCAGCTACCAAGGAGGATCCCATAAGCCCAGGAATTGGAAAACCAGCCTAGGCAACACAGCGAGACCTTGTCCCAGAAAGAGAGGAAAGAAAGGAAAGAAAGAGAAGAAAGGGAAGGAAGGAAGGAAGGACGGAAGGAAGGAAGGAAGGAAGAAAAATAAAAAGACTTCACTCACGGAAGTCTTTAAAGAACAATTCACAAGCAGAATAAGAAAATATAAAAATACAATAACTGTGACACAGTAAAAAGACTCAGCAGAAGTTTCCCTTGTAACTCGCGTGGCCAAAGCAGATATCAAATAAAAGACGAAATAAACAGGAAATCCACAGAACATGAACAATGAGGAACCCCTCAGGATGGCCAAACCGCCGTCTGGCTGTTTTCGCGCCAGGACTCAGGCCTGGTAATGGAAGAGGTTAAAATCCAGTGGCTTGTGTTTCAGCTTGGGTTACGTGGCAGAAACCAACTGGAAGAGGTGGCGTGAGAGCTCTGTTTCTTCTAGAAGAGTTTTGCGTCTTAAACGCCCACACTGCAGACAGCTGCCAGGCGGGCAACCCAGCCCCAGGCCACACGCCCAGGAGCGCCCCAGTGCGCGGGGTGGCGCGGCCCAGGCGCGCTGGGTTTGGTGGCACCTCGAGCCCCCTTTCTGTCGCGGTACGGCTGCGTTACAGCCCTAATGAACGCGTGCGAAGGCTCCCCTCATTCATCCATCCTCCGGTCAATCCTTTGTCTCAGAGCCGGGCCTTGCTGGACACCATGGCGTACTTTACCGCACGAGCCCCTGAGGACCCCTGGAAGAAGGGATTTCCGCAGGAGGGGACGCGGCGGCAGGACCGCCCTGGGCCCCTTCACCGCGCGCGGCCCCCTGGCGGGAGAGGCCGCGAGCTCAGGAGAGGAGCGCGGGCGGCGCGGAGGCGAAAGCACCACCTGGGAGGGAGAAACCCTCCCCTCCCCTCCCCTCCCACAGTCCTCAGGAGGAGGAACGCCGCTGCGTTCCAAGTTCTCCCGGGCCCTCTGGCCCCGAGGACTCAGATCCCGGCCGCGGGAGAGGGCCTGGCAGGTGCCAACGAGCCCGGGCGGGCCTTCAGCCCGCACTTCCCCGCGGTCGCCCGGAGCCGGCCTCCGTTAGCCGGGTGAGGAGGCGGCTTTTGGCGCCAGGATTGCCCGGCGCCGCCCGCGCCCCCGGGTGGAGCCTCCTGCCCGGCCGCCCCCCGCGGCACCCCCGACCCGGGTGGGGACCAGAGGCTCCCGGCGGCGGCTCCCAGGCTGTGATTGGCCAGCGCCGCAGGGGGCGGGACGGCGGACGTGAAGTGGGCGGGCTGGGGCCGCTCACGCTCCGGCTCCCGCTCCCGCTCCCTCCTCCTTCCCTGTCTGCGTCCTCGCTTGCGGCTCCCGCTTGCATCATCTCCAGCCGGCCGCTGCACCGGGGAGGCTGGGCGCGGCGCGATCCTCTCCGTTCGCGGCTCCAACCCACACTCCGCGCTTCTCCTCGCCTTTCTCGCACCTGTTCCTGCGCCAGGCCGGGAGACCCCCGGGGCGGCTTCCCAGAACCTGCGAAGCACAGCTGGCCGACCTCACCATCGCCGACTCACCATTCATTGGGAGCCCCGTCTTTTGCCAGAGCCCACGTCCCCTGCCACCTCTAGCTCGGAGCGGCGTGCAGCGCCATGGAGAAGAGCAACGAGACCAACGGCTACCTTGACAGCGCCCAGGCGGGGCCTGCGGCCGGGCCCAGAGCTCCGGGGACCGCGGCGGGACGCGCGCGGCGTTGCGCGGGCTTCCTGCGGCGCCAAGCGCTGGTGCTGCTCACCGTGTCCGGGGTGCTGGCGGGCGCGGGCCTGGGCGCGGCGTTGCGCGGGCTCAGCCTGAGCCGCACGCAGGTCACCTACCTGGCCTTCCCCGGCGAGATGCTGCTCCGCATGCTGCGCATGATCATCCTGCCGCTGGTGGTCTGCAGCCTGGTGTCGGGCGCCGCCTCCCTCGATGCCAGCTCCCTCGGGCGTCTGGGCGGCATCGCTGTCGCCTACTTTGGCCTCACCACGCTCAGTGCCTCGGCGCTCGCCGTGGCCTTGGCGTTCATCATCAAACCGGGATCCGGTGCGCAGACCCTTCAGTCCAGCGACTTGGGGCTGGAGGACTCGGGGCCTCCTCCTGTCCCCAAAGAGACGGTGGACTCTTTCCTCGACCTGGCCAGGTAACACTCTCCACCTCGCCCAGGGCCCAGTGGGAGACGCTAGCTCTCGGATGCCCTCCAGTTCATACACACATATGCACATACACTCCTAAGAGTTAATTCTTAGTTGGCTGCTGGTGGCGTTTAACGTTTTAAAAATATCAAAATGACGTCTGGAGTCTTTGCGTGCTGACCACACCTTTGCAAACAGCTGGGGCGCACCGCACAATCGAAAGAGCAGGGCTGCATCTTTGAGCAAGAACCAGTCCCCACCGTTAAGTGGGCGTGTGTTAGGGAAGAGCCCCACCTGTTCTTTACTCATACTCTCCCTGGTAAAAATGTTCCGACCACGCCCCAGTGGCTTCCCCTCATTTTCTCCCACATGGTGCCTAAAAGCTTCTGGGAGCATTGGTTAAGTTTTGCCTGTTGGGTCATCCGGCTTGCAATCTTTGGCCTTCTCTGTTACAGTCCTTGGCTGCGAAGGAAGCTGACAATTTTCTGCAGTTATCAGTGGACCCACAGATAGTAGGACTGAGGTTAGTTGAGTGAGGCGTATTGCCCAGAAATATGCCTCTCCTGAGGGCTTGGGGCTTGGGACAGGTTGCTGTCCACCGCAGTAAAGACCACTGCAGAGTGTTGTGTTTCAAAGGCCTTTGTGCCAAAGTGTGAGTTCTAGAGGGGAGGGAGAGAAGCATCTTCACTTAGCTTTGCCTGCTTTTTGTAATTCTTAGAAGTTGCATTTTGTCCTTTGAGATGATGTAGTATCCTTTCTGTGACTTATCCAAAACCTTGGTCTCTCCTGGTTTCTCCATTAGCCCAAAGTTCACAAATGGGAAAACTGCAGCCTGGAGGCATTTACTGATCTAACCAGGTTCAGTTGAGTGAGGAGTCCAGCTGGCTCCCTCTCCAGGTTTCTGATGATTTTGGATTCTGAGCCTTGGAGTTATTAATATATTTTGTCTTGAGTTATTGAGGCAAAGCTCCTCATTGCTGAGGTTGTGAAAAACAGCAAACCCTGGGCAAAGTGACTTGCCTTTCCACTGTTTCCATTTCTCCTTCTGGAAAATGTGATGGCTGTCTGCACTTAAGAGAGAGATTGTTCATTTAAATCAACAACAAAAATTTAGGACATCTGTATTAAAAAAAGAAAGAAAGAAAAAGAAAAAAGAAAGAAAGAAAAAGAAAAAAGAAAGAAAGAAAGAAGACAAAAAAACACTCTCATGAGGGAGACCAAAAGTTCTTGACAAAAGGGCAGATAGTGGTGGCCTCTTAGGACTTTGGATCACAGCTTTTTTTTCTTTTTAGAGTCTGGATCTTGCTCTGTTGCCCAGACTGGAGTGCAGTGTTGGGATCCTAGCTCACTGCATCCCCGAACTCCTAGGCTTCAGCGATCCTCCTGCCGCAGTCTCCAGAGTAGCTGAGATTACAGGTGCACACCACCATACCCAGCTAGTTTAGAGATGGGGTTTCACTATGCTGCCCAGGCTGGTCTAGATCACAGCCTTTGTTCTGTGACTGGCGGCTTGATATTGCAGTCCAGACACTTTAAGTTTGGGAACTAACTTTTAGGTGAGTGCTGAAAGGAAGTCTCCTGAGGTTGAGAGCACCTTTAGCTTATTACCTGCAGGATGTCGGTCAGCTCTCTCAGGGAGGGAAGGCAATTCTGGGGTTAAAGGATTATTCTTTGCAGGGATCTGTGACCCAGGGAGGGAGAATGGATGTTCAGCCCTGCCCTGCTAGTGGTCCCACACTGGGAGCCTCAATAGGATCTTTTATCTCCAGAAGAGGGGGCAGTGGTGGTAGGGGGGTACCTCATTACCTCCAGCTCCAGAAGGGACTTCTTGTTTCCTGATCATCGTTTTCTAGTTTTAGACCCAAGCCCCTTCAGCTCCTGCTTCTGACATGAATGGTGTACCCAGCATCATAGCTTAGTAGTGTGGGTGCAACTTTTCAATGACTTGGGCTGCACCTGCTTGGAGGGCTAAGAGAGGCTTTGTTGTGGCTTGTTGGGGATAGGTAGTGTTTCACAATTCTTCCAACAGCCAACTGCATCTAATCCAGCAGCTCACGGATAAAGGTAGGACAGGTGGTATATCCTATTTTGCGACTGAGGAAACTGAGACAGAGATTAAGCGATTTGCTCAAGGTCATGGAGTGGCTTACAAAGAAGAGATTAGAAGGACTGTGGGTCTCCTACCCCACAGTGCAGGATTCTGTCTATTTCTCCTAATCCCTCTTCCTCCAAGTCAACATGCCTTAGTAATGTCACCTGCCTCGTCTAGTGCGGCTATCTCGGAAATGCTTTCTCTGGGTCCAGAGAGGAACCTGGTAGGCATATGACTGGGTCAAGACAAATGCCCCTTTCCTCCAGCCAGCATGGAGTCTGAGCTCCTCGGGCGAAGGAAAGTATGTGTGCACCTGCTGAGGTTTGGTCTTAGGCTGAGCAGCTTGTGAAAGGAAACTAAGTCCCAAGCCACCCGGAAATGCTTCCTGAGTCTGGAGAGTCTCTGATGTCAAATTTTAAAAATTGCTTCCTTCAAGGAAACCTCATGGATGTGGATTTCATGTGACTCTGAGCATCTTCTTTGGAAATGCAGTGCCCATTCCTTTCTTCCTAGGGGCACATGAATGAAATGAGACTCTGCCAGTAAACACCTCAGTTATCCAGCAGGCCCTCTCCAGGTAGCTGCTCAGAACTTAAACACCTGGAAGAGTGGGAAAGGCCTCTGATGAGTCAGCATAGCTGCTGCCAAGGCTTTGTGCTAAAGTCCATACCCTTTCCTGATGGTAAAGTGCCCCAAAATTCCCCAGGGTCTCTCTGTCATGATTTCTAATTTGGTTTTTAAAGCTGGAACTACAAGTCAGAAAGAGATGAAGCTAGTAGGTGTTCATTACATGTGTATACATATTTTTTAATTCAGAATGTCATTGCTGAGTGGTTTGATCTCCCAGCACACAATGGATTATAAAGAACAATGTAGAATAGAGAATTGGGATGAGAAGGCTGGCGCTAGAAGCACTGAGAAGGGATGGCCAACAGTAGCTGGCAGGTGGAAGAATCATAGTCTCTTCCTGAGCAGCCCGGAGTTCTGTGCCTGGGAATCCAGAACAGTATAGGACTTTCAGAACCATGTGTGACCTAAGTGGTTGACTTGTGGCTTTTCATCCAAAATGAAATAGTTGGGCACCAAAGAGACAGAAACAGGAAACTAGCCATTGTGGAACTTCTTGGTCCCTAACAATGCTTACTGGTTGTGGGATATGTCCATAACTTTTCCATTCCTTGGTTTCCTCATCTTTATCATGGGAATCATGATGGTACCTACCTCGCAGGATTGTTCTGAGGGTTAGCTGGGTTGTGTCTAAGAGCTCTAAAGCTCCTGTGGGTTCTGAAGCTGTTAGAATAGTGCTGGCCCAATACACCTGTGCTCTTGTTATAACTAGAGTGATTGGGTTTTCCAGTTCACCTGAGCTAATGGGGATGGCCCTCTTTCCATAACCTGAAATAAAGGAGGCTAGATGGGAAGAAAAGGAATGTTTAGGGGAACTCAAGATGACTTGAAGCTAATGTAGTCTTTTTTTTTTTGAGGTGGAGTCTCGCTCTGTCACCCAGGTTGGAGTGCAGTGGCCGGATCTCAGCTCCCTGCAAGCTCCGCCTCCCGGGTTCATGCCATTCTCCTGCCTCAGCCTCCTGAGTAGCTGGGAATACAGGCGCCCGCCACCTCGCCCGGCTAGTTTTTTTGTATTTTTTAGTAGAGACGGGGTTTCACCGTGTTAGCCAGGATGGTTTCGATCTCCTGACCTCGTGATCCTCCCGTCTCGGCCTCCCAAAGAGCTGGGATTACAGGCTTCAGCCACCGCGCCGGGCCCCTAATGTAGTCTTTAGGTATATTGGGAACCAGATGGCATCTGGAGGAGAAGTGAACAGTAACTGACTATGTTTTAGACTACTAATTAATAGATTCACACTATGGAAAATTTGGAAAGTGGAGAAAAGTCAAAACTAAACATGGAAGAGCCTTCCATTCTGAAATGGGACAGAAGTCCCCACAGATCCTCACTGACATTCCGGTTTCTTTTTCCCCTGCCTTACATGCTTATGATCTCCAGTTCACCTCTGCTGTAAATTGAAGGGATTGAGGCAACTGGTTTCTAACATTCCTTTGGGCTCTAAAGTTTGTAGTTTTCGAATGGAGAACCAGGGCATAACTGCCAAGGAGGCAGGTAGGGACAGAGCCTAGGCCCAGGGCTCTGGTCTGTGCTGGCAGCCAGAAGAATGGCCGAGGGCCACCATCTTGCAGTAGCATAGTAGGCTGTGGCCGTGTATATAGTAAATACGATTAGGATTTTATCTGTTGCCCAGTTTTCTAGGGTTTTTTTTCTCCGCTCGTGCTAATTTTCTTAATAGCAAACCATGCTCTGAGCCTTTCCCTTCACAGAGGGAGCTGTGCTGGACTTACATCCTTCTCAAGGATGGGTGTGAATAGGTATGGTGCTTCTCAAGCTGCAAAGAACACATTTCTTGAATAGGTGCCAAAAAAAAAAAAAAAAAACTATCAGAGACTGAGATTTAATATTAGCCCCCTATGCTTGCCTTGGCAGCACATATACTAAAACTGGAACAATACAGAGAAGACAAGCATGGCCTCTGTGCAAGGATGACACACAACGAGATGTTCCAACGTGAAGCATTCCATATTTTTTTAATTAAAAAAATGGTAATATTAGCCAGCAAAGTTGAGGAGTGAGTTGTGAACAATTTCTTTTCATTATTGACTGTGGTGGGTTGTTGTAACTATGCCCGTGTCTCTCTCTTCTATAGGCAAGATGAAGACTTAGCACATCTAACAAGGATCCAAATTAATTGAGTATGTGAGAGTCGGGGGGCGGGTACAGTGTGGATGCCATAATGTAAAATGTATTTCTTATGGTAGGTCAAAATTAAAAACATGTGTGAAACCTCTAAGATATACTACTTAAATCTAGAGGCCCAAGTCAGTCCAAACTAGGAGATAATGAATGAACAAGCTTTTCCAGCGCTATCTAGTGACGAAAGGAAAATAATAGCAGCTTGTAATTTTTTTAAAAAGAAAGATTTTAACTCTTGACCATTTCTTTTACCACCCAGGAGGACACCTGAATAGTTTAGAGACAGAAAAAAGCATCAGTCTAGGGAGGTGGGTAGTGCTGAAGAGCAGACACTAAAGCCAGCCGCCTGGATTTGAAGCCCAGCTCTATGACGTACTTGCTGTACATGCACAAGTTGTTTGTCCTCTCTGTGCCTGAGTGTCCTTATCTGTAAAATGAGGCTAATGAGATCTACTATCTAGAATGGTTGTGAGGATTAAATGAGTTAATATATGAGTGCTTTGCTAATATTCTAGTGTGTCCCAGCTTCTCAGGGACAGCTGAGGGCTATTTGATACTGAGCATGAGTGCTGCTCTTAATCTAATTTCCCCCAAAAGTTCCCCACTCCAGGGGTTCAGCCCTACCCTTTCCAGCTGGAATCTAAAACTGGATGGAGGCCTTAAAGAGAGGATAGATTCACACCCCCATCATCAGAGTGCAAGTCCACCAGTCCCAGCCCTTCCTCAGCTCAGCCTTGTAGGGGGTACCAAGATCTGAAGGGGTACATCCCTGTTAACTGGCTCTGTAACAATAAATACTAGGGATAATAAATATTCATCAGGTGTACATACTGTGCCATATCCTGTTCTGAAGAGTCTTTGAAATTTTAATAGATTTGGTAAAGAATTTTTGAACTTAAATAAAAGGAAATAATTCTGGAACAAAATATGCCCAAGCAAAAGTAAATTGTTTTGCATTCTTTTCATATAGAACAGAGAAATGTATACCACCCTTGACAATAGGATCAGAAGAACAAACAGTATCAGATGTTACAGAAAGAATGTCTTTGAAGTTTTTCACTGTGTGAATTGCATGGGTCTACATAGCACCTCCCACCGTGGTTCTACACTGGCCAGTTCAACCTCATTTCATACTAGTTTTTCTGTTTGTTTTAAGTAATGTATTCAAAGATAGCACTGGAAAAGCTTCTTCATTCATTATCTCATAGTTTGGA